ATTTAAAATAGAAATAGCGACAAATGCACCAGGAAGCCCCATTCCGCAGGCGGGCGTTCTCTCCACAGGGCTTCCCGGAGTGAAAGCATGAGAGGGAGACAGGAGGGCGGGCGCCCTCGACACGTGGTTTGTAGAGAAGACAGAACACACAGCAGCAATGCCTGACTAAGTTCTGCATGAAGCGAGGCGCTGGGTGTTCAAGGCAAAGGTCCTCGCATTCGAACTTGGCGCACCTCACACACCCGCTTCCCTTTAACACTCCCTGGGTGTGATTTTAGTATCTTGGGCCAGATTACTTTCCGGGATGTGCTGTTTGAAGTTCGGAAGGAAAAGATCCTGTTCTGGTCTGGTGCAGAGGGTACTGGGGACAGGAGAGGGGACCACCTGGCCAGCAGGCAGGTCCCAAGCATCACCCACTGAGGATGTGACCACAGCACTGTCCCCTCAGCACACTGCTTCCCCCGAGCCAGCTCACAGTAAGGAGTCCCCGGGACATTCTGTGAACAAAGACCGAGAGTCAAAGCTGGGGAAGGGCAGGCAAACCCAGCAGGGGACAGCCCCGAAGCTCCAGTTGTCTCAGGCAGCGCGGGCTCCCTCGGCTCTTCGTATGTGCGTATGGGTGTGCATCATGAAAAAAGTCCCAATACAGAGAGAAGGGAAATGGACTACCAGTGAGATAACAAATGCCCACATCTCCGCTGCGCACACTAACAAAGGCTAACGGTGTGTCCTAATTACTCCCAGCTTCTTACAGAAATCAGCATTTCAGAAGGAGCTGAAATCCCTCTTTGTCCCCTCCCTCCCGGAGACGGCCATCGGGTCTGCCGTGCTTTCTTCCTGACACTGCTGTGGCTGTGTCACACATGCACGCTGCATAGACAGCTCACGATACAGGGCATTTTGTATCAGTCTTTCTAAGAATTATTTTATTTAACTTTCTTTATTTTATTTATTTATTTTCATTTGACCAGAAAGAGACAGAGAGTATGAGAGAGAGAGAGAGAAAGTGAGAAAGCAAGCTGCCAGGTCTGGGATTCGAACCCCGGTCAGCAATGCGGGAGTCAGTGCCCCTAGCCACCATGCCACCTGCCAGTCCCAAGAGCATTTTATATTTGAACTACTTACGCCTGGTCTTTCCAGGTACCTACCTGGCACTTGGCTACTGCACTCAGTGCTGACGTGTGATCCACCCGGACCACCAGCAAGGCGTGTGCCTCGGGCAGTGTCCAGCATGTGGCCCCTCGCTCCCACCCTTCCACCCAGCCTGGTGGACACGAAGCCATTTCCACAAACAGAGCCCTGAAATCAGAACCTGGTCTGCATCTCCTGATGCCCCCAAGCCAGAAATTACGTGAAACTCTTGCTGCATCACTGTTTTTTTTTCATTTGCCCTAGGGCGCATGTGCTCCCCATAGAGGGAGAGAGAAGGAGAGAAGGAAAGTGAGAAATCACCCCCAAGGGGGATGGCCACGTTGCAATCCCTTCTCCTCCATTCTCCTCTCAGGATTTTGAGCACACATGGATACGTGCCTGGCGTGTTTTTCAAACCGCTGGGTCTGGAACTCGAATCACCCCGTAGGCTGTGTGGGATCCAGCCGCCTTGATCCCCATGCTGCCGGCTGGTCCCTCTGTGTCACTTTTTCTGTCACAGCACTGTTGACACTGGGACACATAAATTTTTACTGGGGAGCTGTCCATGTACTGCAGGGTGTTCAGACACCCCTTGGCCTCCACTCAGGAAATGCCAGCATCCTCTCCCCCATTTATGACAACCAAAGACCCTCCAGGTCTTGCTGAATGTCCCTGGGAAGGAACCTAGTCCCAGGAGATAATCGTGCTCTTAGGGGACTAGCTAGGGATCAAATACGAGCCCAAATGCTCCCCAAGGTCATTGCAGCAACTGGCCCCACCATCAGTGTGTGAAATGTCCACTCTCTCATCATTCTCACAATACCCAGCCCCTTTTTACTTCTACCGATCGGAGGTGCATAAACGGGTTTTAACTCCCATTTCCCTAATGGCTTCTAAGAGTGACTATCTTTCGCCGCGCCTATTGGCCACCTGGATTTCCTCTTCAGTGAATGATTTATTCATGTCTTGGCCTATTTCCTATTGGTTTCTTCGTCTTTTCCTTATTGATCAGCCTGAGTTGTTCATGTAGTGGAAGCCACAAATGTGATTTTAAATTTTCTAGTGACCACATTAATAAAAGCAAAGACAAATTAACCAAACAGATCCAAAATATTACCGTTCCAACATGAATTAATACAAAAAAATTAATGAGACATTGTACTTTTTTCTTTTCTGGATTAAGTCTTGGCAAGCAGTGTGAATTTTACACTTCCAGCACACCCCCACTGCATGGGCCACGCTTCCCGTGCCCAGTGGCCCCCTGGGGCTGACGGCTCCAACACTAACCTCCCCAAGACTGGAACGAGGCTGTGGCAAAGGAGGCAGCTGGGCACGGCGTTTATGGGGGAGCACACCCAGCACCGCCGTGAGCAGGGGCCTCCACAATGTCCCCTAGACCCCGAAGCTCTGTGAAGGGTGCTGCGATGGTTCTCGCCACGGCTGCCAGTTACTTTGTTTTCTAAGTTTTTATTTTACTTACATAGTCTGAGAGAGAGAGAGAGAGAGCCCCCTCCCAATAGGGTCTTTATTCCATGGCCCACCCCCAGCCTCAGGCAGCTCAGACCACACCTGGATGGTTAGGGAGGCCTGAGGATGTGAGCCCAGGACTTTCCCATGTGGGTCCAACAATGCAGAGCTTTGTGTTGCTGCTGCACCACCAGAGAGAGAGAGGGACAGTGAGAAGTCACTCCTCGGGGGCATGGCCATGCCACAACCCCTTCTCCTCTTGGGATTATGGGAACCTGCACACATGCATCCAGCATGATTTTCAAGCTGCTGGGTCCAGGACCTGAAACAGTTGTGCCAACTTCTACAGTCAGACTGCCCCTGGACCGTGACCTGATCAGCTACCTGACCACCCATAACTCCTGTCCATATTTTTTTTTTTTTTTTTTTTTTTTGCGAGAGTTTACTTTGCTATCAGGAGTGCTTGCCAGAGAGACAGAGAGAAACAAAGAGACAGAACGTGAGAGGTCACCCCCCAGACGGGATGGCCACGCTGCAATCCCTTTTTCTCCATTCTCCTCTTGGGATTTGGGGCATGCATGCGCACACGCCTAGTGTGAGTTTAAAGCCGCTGGGTCTGGGACTTGAACTGCAGCCAACTACATGGGAGTCCAACGACGTAACCATTATGCCATCTGCTGATCCCACCATTTGCTTTTTAATTTACCACCTGATCTTATACTTGAATGCAATCAAATTATTAATCTTTTCCTTTATGGTAATGCTTATTGTGATGTAAGACATCCTTACTGTTTGAAGACCAAAAGATTTCCCTATTTTTAATTCTAAAAGTTTCTAAGTTTATGTTTTCATAGTTAGGCCTTTAATCCACCAGGGCCTTTATTTTCATAAATGATTTGCCGTAGAAATTCTGCTTTCCTCGTATGGTGAGCTGGCGTTCCTCGCACAGAGAGGGATAAATCCATTCTCTTTCCATTGATTAGAAACACTATGCTCGTGCGTATCCACGTTTCTCATACGTGCACGGATGCATTTTGGAGACTAGTCCTGTTGGTCATGCAAGGCGAGACCACATGATTTAATACTGCAGTCTTGCTGTCCTGCAGGGAAGAAACCCTCCTGGCTCCCCTCCTTGATTCTGCCCTGGTTACTCTTGATGACCAAGCTTTGTTTAAGGTAACCAAATTCAGTTACCAACCCTACTAGAGGCAGCAAAGAAGCTTATGCAAAAGACCAGAGCCCAGGTCACGAGAGGACACGCAAGACACGTGCTGACGCTGCCAGGAATAGGCGTGTGCTGCTAGATCTCCTGAAAGGGACGGAGGAAACTGCCGTTGAGAGTCACTGACTCAACAGTGACAAGTTATAAATAATACAGAGTCTAGCAGAAAAACACTTGCAAGCGCACCGTCCCGAGTAGTCCTGAGTGTTCATCAAAAATGGCCCTGGCGCGTCTCCAGGGTCTTCATTTCTCTTACGCATCGGTCTGTGCAGGATTAACCCAAGTCAGAGTGAAGGTCCGGGAAGGATCCAATGAAGGTGGATGGCAACACCAAAACCCAGAACCAAACGAAACACAAGGCGATCGTTGCAGAGGTCCCTAGAGCAGTCCCCATGGTATCACCACTCCCTGCACGTACTATGGGTCATCAGAAAAGTCATGGCCTGTTTTTCTGTTTTTCTGTGCAGAAATGCATCATGATTTTTCCGATGAACCACCAGGATCACAAGTCCCCACCCTTTCCGAATTCTGCCCTGACTGCCCAGTTTGTGTGGTGAGGAGATGTGAGTGAGAGGCCCTGCCATGTCCAGAGACAGTCTAGGACTGGCCGACTCCCCCTTCTGCCTTGCCTCACCTTGAAGCTTAGAAATGGAGAATCTCTCTGCCTGGGTGTCTCCGTGTGAGGGCAGGGGGAGCAGACCCACTCCACCTCCAGCAACACACGGGAGCATGAACACGCAAGAAGCAAGCCTTTCTTGTTTTACACACGGAGAAGTGGGGCTGTTTATCAGAGAAAACCTGGCAGATCCCCAATACATATATATAACTTCCCTTTATTTCAAGATTACATCTTTGCTATTCGATTGGGCATAAAATGTACTATAAAACGATGGGGACAGGAGTAGCTTGCAAAACAAAACACTGGCCATTCTGTCAAGTGACATATCCCCAAAGCATCTTCCACAGTGAAGCCAGCTGCCCAGAGACCACTGTGCCGGGCTGTGCGTTTTGTGCCAGAGCACGTCACCAGCCATCACCTCCGAGCTCCCACACAAGGTCCCCATGGTTTGAGCTCTCCCTAGTGCCAGGCCTCCCGACACTTGCACATGCGGTGGCCTTTACCTGGATGGAGTGCCTGTGCACCCTACGCCCCTTCCCCCCACCCACATAGCCCTGTCACCTGCACATGTCTGATCCCTGCAGCCATTTCCAGATGCGCTCGCCAGGCTGCCTCTCACACTGATCCTCCTGGCTGTGAGCGCTGAATGGAGAAGGAGCGTGTTCTTAAGCTCTGGGTCCCCAATGCCTGGAGACTGTAAGACACTCAGCCAGCACCTGTGAAATGAACGCACACCCCCCCGCACACGCGTCAGGGCCTCCTTCCTCGGCCACACTCGGCTAGCTGCGAACAGGGTTGACATGTGGTGACGTGAGCTCTGAGCTGTTCCTCTTCCACACGCAAGACAGGACGTGACCCGAGGTCCTGAGAAACCTCAAGGAAGACCACTGCCGCTCGGTGAGGTAAGCCTCACTCTCAGAGGGCAACCCCAGTTCCGAGGGTGAAGAATCGAAATCTGCAAGCAACGGCCAAACTCAAAGAAAACGAAAGGAAGCCCAAGAACTCTTCTGGGAGGATTCACCGTAGGGACGTTGAAAGTGCGTCAGGAGAGCAGCGGAAAGCTCTGTGATGCGGGCGCCTGAGAGCCACCCAATGGCTGGCTGCGTACACGCAGGCCACGAGACGCCAAGTCAGGACAGAAATGAGGCCTTAACGCTGCGCCAACGTGGGGAGATTCGCATGGGGCAGGACTGAGCGACCTCTTTCTGTGTTGATTTTTCTGTGTGAGCTCCTACAATGGGTGCAGGGCTCATGTATGGTTATGTTCACAAAAGATGTTTCATTTTCTGAAAGGAGAGATGAGAAATTTAGCTGGCCACCTTCAAGTCACATATGTAAGAAAGAAACTTCAAAAAGTCTGTAGAGAAATGGAGTTAAAGTACAAGTTTACTTTAGTGCAAAGCAAATTTGAAATCCATGCTTTTTTTTTAATAAGAGTTTTTGCCATAGGGCACATGAGCTCAGCACAGAGACAGAGAGAAGGAAAGTGAGGAATCACCCCCAGGAGGATGACCATGTGGTGATCCCTTTCTTCTCTATTCTCCTCTGGAGATTCTGGGCGGGCACACACACACACACACACACACACACGCACACACACACCAGGCATGACTTTGAAATCACCAGGTCTAGGACTTGAACTGCAGTTGGCCATATGGGAGTCCAGCAGCTCAACCACTGCGCCACCTGCCGGCTCCATGCCTAGTGTTTTGAGGATACACATTTTCTATGAACTTGTTGATGACTCCCCATGTATTTGGGATTTATTTCAATATCCTTTTTAGGTGCACATATATATATTTTCTTTTTAGTTTGCTATGAGGTACATGTTCTCACCAGGGAGAGAGGGAAAAAGAAATAACCCCGTAGAGGGAATGGCCACACTACAATCCCTTCTCCTCCACCCTCCTCTCAGAATTTTGGGCAACCACACACATGTACCCGGCACGTTTTTCGATCTGCTGAGTCTGAGACTTCAACCGCACACTCAGCCACATGGGATCCGGCTGCCCTAACCATCATGCCACCGGCCAGCACTTTATTTTTAATTGTATAAATAATATTCTATTGGCAATGGTATATAGGTGATATTTTATATACTTTATTTATGCTTTTCCACTTCAAATAAAAGATGCCCAGTAAACTGCTTTACATAAAGAAATAAGACAACTATTCATACAAATAAATAAATATGTAAAATATATCAAGAGACTTCTTCCCCAAGTCAGAGTTCACTAAGTAGCCCTAGAATTAGAATATGATAAATGCAAGGTTGTCACTCAGTCATTTTTCTTTAGACTAGACTTTGCATGGAATGTGGATTTTATTACCACTGCAAACTTCTTGTCCAGATTTATGATTTTAGATTGTAATCATTTTGTGAAATTACTGTAACTTTATTCTCACTGCAAGTCTAGCTATATATATAT